CGGGGTTCCTCTCGGGTTGCCAGTTGGTCCTTTATCTGCTCAGAAAGAGAATTTACAAAAGTTCCTTTAAGCGCTAGTTCATCCCAACCTGACTCCTCTGCCATAATGCGAAAGTCGATGGAGTGATCGGTGACAGAGCGTTTGCCTTGTTTGAGGGTGAGAAGACGCTTCGCTGCTTCCTCCTGCTGGAGGGGATGGTCAAACACACGCTTAATTTCTTGGATGAAAAATTGAGAAGTCAGAGTGTCAATGGAATGAGATGCCAGAAAAGAGTTGGCCCAGCGTAAAGCTTTACCTTTGAGAGCAGTAACAATATATGTAATCTTGGATGCTGAGTTAGGAAACAGCGTAGGTGAACGTGAAAAAGCGAGTTGACACTGTAAAAGAAAACCACCACAATGATCCGGATTACCTTCAAAGCATTCTGAGGGACGAAGGTCTGGCTCCCGGGTTGTAGTTCCGGAGTTTGGTCGCAAGGGGGCAGCAGCTGCTTGGGTTACAGATTTGGGTAACAGGTTAGAAACTTTGTCATCCATGGAAACGACTCTATGACCGATCTGATTTAAAACAGCGCTTGTATTTTCTTGTAGCTGAAATAATTGATGTAAGAGCTGATCATGATCTTTAAATTTCTGTTCAATATCCATAGAACTGAAGGACTGTTCCGTACCAAAACCGTTCTTTGACATAATTGGCCGGAGCAAACTGTCAGGTTTGCGAGAAGTCAAAAGTGAACAGGTTTGGAGCGAAACAGACTCGGGAGACCAGATACAAAAGGTAAGTGATTTTATTTACAGTGCGGGTCGGGGTGTGAACTGGAGAAGYTGCAAAGGAAGGACAGCCGGTGAGTATTTGTTTGATGGGAGAAGAGATCTTGTAATAATGATAAGGATCTATTTTCTTACAGGTCGATGAGGGAGGAGCGGCACAGAGGAGAAGGTGAGAATCCACGGAGGTGAGTTGTTTTCTTTTTATTTCCAGGTTGAGTTGATCCAAGGTGAATAGGTGAGTTCCTGAGGCGTTGGAGGCAGACAGGCAGGTGATCAGAGCTGAGGTGTTATTTCCTTTGGATGACACGGTGGGATCACGGGCAGGAGCACTAGACATAAAAAGCACAGTTAGTTTCAACAGGAAGGTTTTTAAAGTAGAGCAGCCAGGACAAATACCATAAGGCATGTGTTGCTCCGGCGAGGATCAGTTCACCAGTGTCGTCTTATAAAGCCCTCAGGTGCTCATCAGAAGATCAGCTGCAGCTGCGCTGATTAATGCCTCAGCCACTCAGGAAACTGCTGGTGAAAAAACTCAAATTGCTACACCCCAGCCCATAAGAACTCACCTGTTTTACTTGCTAAAAACCATTACTGGAAGAATCTCAAATACTCACCTCTGAGAGATCCCCCCCCCCCCACCAGTATAAATAAAATCACTTACCTTTTGTATACTTTGTCTACGCCTCTGTTTGTCACTGGTAACTGCTCACGTTGACCTCCACCCTGATAGTATGCTTCAGCCAAGTAAAATGTCCGTGAGCAATACCTCTGACAATCAGACCCTCGGGGCTAATAATCAATCAGACTCTACAATGTTAAATCATGACCAAAAGCTTAATCAGTTATTTCAGCTTCATCAGGAAACCAGCGTATTATTAAATCAAGTCACTCATCGCATTGCTGCCATAGATAGCAGATTGAACACACTTTTTTCCTCTAACACAATTACACCTCCCGTTACCACGCCCAGTCCACCTGTTTTGCCTGTGAGAGAACCAGACATCCGACACTCTGAATTATTTGATGGCGATATAAATCAGTGTGCAGGATTTTTACGGCAATGCTGGTTGGCTTTTGCTCGTTCACCTT